TTAAATTTATTAGTTTGGCCCCATTTTACTGGTATCATAACATTAATCTGCGGGATTGCACCCCCACCCCGAAAGAATGAAACTACATACACGAATTACTCTGGACCGAATATGAAATCTATTGGTGTAACTTTGAAATCGGAATTAACAATTGGAGGCCAACGACGCTCTGCGTGGAACGATATGGATCCTTCCATGGAATTTGAAAGATACATGTGTTAAAGCATATTCCTTGTTCTGTGGTTAAAGTAATTGGGAAAACCTATTTATATTGATTTTATGTCTGTATTTTGAATACACACTTTGACCTTCCGGGAACCCCGAAAGTAAAGGTCAACCGACTTCAAATGTACGACAGAAACGTTGATTAAGATTATGGTGTATCAGATCAGCCCGATAACCCGAATCGAACAATTTGAAAACGGTTATCGGGTATGTTTGATCACCAAATCAGCATGTAGGAATCGTAAAAGATGTACTCTCTTCGCATTGAATAAACCTTATACAAAATGAAAAGCTGTGAAATGTCCTATCAAGGATTTTTTTTAGGAGATTGATTTCCATTGATAATTCAGCATCGATGATATAATTTGTCTACCGTAGTATCCGTTTTTTCCCCTAAAAATTAGTGCATTTGATGTAGACTATAGTTGAGGGGTCCAATTCCTTTTGACATCTTGGGTCGCCGACCACGCCTACCCGGCAATTCTGTACCGTCCGAAAGAGACATTCTCGGCTTGGTCGCCGTTCTTGATCGCTCCACACAGCAGGTACTTGTTGCCATAGACCAACCCGTTAATGGTTCATTGCGGGTCCATATTTTTGGGACAGGCCAGGGGTTGCATACCCCTGCAGAATGCAGGTCGCTGGAGAAGGCAGATGGTTTTTTTTTTTTATTCCCAAAGAGTAAAACAAAAAATCACTCCATCCGATTCAAACTAGGGACAAGACGTTTAGACTACTTTAGAGTGAATTGTATTCAATCAAATCGTTTCCTGGTTTGGTCGGGTTTTTTTTTTGGAGGGGGGGGGGGGGGGGCTTTTCTCTAAAGGCATATAGAATAATTTGCTTTTCATGCATTTTGTTCGTTTTCAATAATATCACCAATCGAAATTCCAAGAAGACTTAAAAAAAAAACCTGTTGAATTTTCAGCTCAGTGGATATTACAATGAATCGTAAGTCATTTGCTCGCAGTGACTCGAGTCGAGTCGAGTAGTCATTACAACTCTGGATGATTCTGGCACAAATGCTGAAAATGATCATCGTCATTTCTTGATGTTAGGCATCCGAATGCTGTAACGTCATCAAACCGGAGGTTAAAGGTCAATCATTTTGATACAAATACGCATTAATGTAATTATTCTTCTTTCCAAAAAATAAAAAATTATAAAACATGATAAAATGTTAAAACTGAGACAACTATTAATTGAATTTTGTTTAATTAATCAGATATCTTCAGAAAATAAGCAGAATCTGTAAGTGAGGCGTTCTAAAACGAATAGGCTACAGACTGCTTTGACACGAGGTACAAAACTGTGATACAGGGAGCGATTCCATTTTCCTAAATATAATTCTTCCTGGGATCACTAGTCTTCGGAAGGCTATGTAGGCTAAATTACTGGAAATCAATATTATAAAATACTATAGTCCTTTTTCGTTTCGTTAGCTCACAACATAATTTTAATGGCGCCCGTGTAAAGACAGACAAGCCATCAAAACATGTATTTTTAGATAAGCATATGTTGCATAAACTCCAGGGACGTTAGAGGCTCCGTCACACTAGCACAGTGCAGCACCAGAAAGGTGCCTCGAAAATTTAGATCTTGGTTTCATAAACATTTTCCGAGGCAGCAACAAAGTTCATACACTGTAAAAGCTTTGTTTAGCTTGAAATTTCTGAACACCTAATTGTACCCACTTGAATCTACGACACGGATGTCTGTGACATGTTAGGTACACTATGGAAGCCTGTTAGTACCATCAAGTATTTAAAGTGAAAGTATACATATAATATAAATGACTAATCATATCAGGATGAAGTCGAATGACAGGCTAAATACGGTGCACACTGTTATCACTCTTTCTTTTATTTTCTGTCTCAGACAAACAAACTTTAACAGGTAAATTTGACTTTTGATAACTTATTAATGAAGACAGTAACAGGATTTCGTATGTGCAAAAAATATCTAAATATGTCTAAGACCAAACACGTAACAAAAAATTGGTACCATAAAGCACCATTTTTACAGTGTAGAGTGAACACTTTTTTTGCTTTTCATATAATTTTGGTTGACTTTTGAAAAGAGTCCATGCATTTTATTATTCATGAGTAAACTGTAAACCACTCAAAAAGTTGATTGGTTGAAAACACTATCAATCTAAGTGGTTTACCCAAGGTATAGGCTAAATCACTCGAAGCAATCAATACTAAAAAACTAGTCCGTTTTCTGAATTTTCGTCATAACTGATTGCAATCGCACCTCCAGTGTTCCTGTCATATTTCAAATACAGAATATCCATATTTCGTTCTTTCGTAAAATGTAGCCTCACGGCATAATTTTATTATACCCATGCAAAGACCAAAAAGCCATCAAAACATTTATTTTTAGAAAAGCATATCCAATGGCGTCGGAGGCTCCGTCAAACTCCATATTGAAGTCTACCGCAGATACTGTTTCATATTTTATGAGCACTTGAGTCATAATTATGAGCATGCAGCACCAAAAGCAATGCGCCTATACAATTTGTATCTTGTCTTCTATACACATTTGCCAAGGCAGCAACAAACTTCAAATAGAGTAAACAGCGATCATACCCTTTGTGATTTTTATAATTTGGTTAGCTGGCTGACTTTTAAGAAGTATCAATGCAAAAGTGTACTCGTGAATATTAATTATTAATATTCACGAGTACAAAACGATTTGGTTTAAAACACTATCAATCTTAGTGACTGATGGCCCATAAGCTAAATCACTCGAAACAGTAAATTTTAATATACCTTACCAGTCCATTTTCGGATATTTTTCGCCAGTTTTCCTCTCGTATTTTAAATACAGGTGTTACCGAGTGGTAAAATAAATAATTATTGCTAGGGGTGAATCTGTAATACAATCTCGTCAATCACACCAACCGTTGTCGGATGATGGTAATAGAGCCAATGGGACTATTACTAAATCCAGACTAACCAAATTAAGGAAACAAGGATGCACAAAATGAATTTCCAGGCGACAGTAAATTTAGAAAAATATAAGTATCTGAAATTGTAATTCAATTATCCTCAAGCAAACAAAATATATGTATTAATCCCGGGAATAACAAGGCCCCAAAATTTCAACGGTTAGCAACCGCTACAAAAAAAATATTCTAGTGGCGGTTTTAACCGCCACTAGAATATTATAAAACAACAAGTAACCACAAGTTTTAATATAAATGGCCGCACCTTAATTTCATGAAATTTAAGGCAATATTGTGATGCAGCAAGCAAATGAACTTAAGTTAACCCCAGAAATTTATAATTTCGTAAAATATACTCTGGAAACGTTCGTTTCGTTGATTCACAGCATAATTTTTATTATGCCCATGCAAAAACAAAAAAGCCATAAAACATTTATTTTTAGATAAGCATATGTTACTTCCAGGGACGTCTAGAGGCTTCGTCAAGTCCATATTCGAGTCTACTGATGCTGATAATGTGCAACACCAGAAATGCGCCTCGAAAATCTAGATCTGGTTGGTTCCCTTACCAGACGATCCTGATATCTCATAGCAGTCAAACTATTTTATTGTCGGAGGGGCCAGACTATCTCACGCAGACGGCCGTTGATGTTGACGACAACTTGGTTCGCGGGCTTTTCCTTTCACGATCGCGATTGGCCACTTAAAGATTCGGCAGCCAATAGCGTGGAGGCTTTTATTAGGAAATGTTGATGAACGTTTCTTTTTTGAAATATTATTTTTTCAATGGTTCTCCCTTAATATTTTCTATTTTATATGGGACTAACGGTCGGAGAAAAATTACAGATGTGTTGGGTTGAAATAAAATACGGGTTTGTGTATGTAGCGGAATCCGTTCTCAAACAAAACTTAAAATGTATAACTATATTTACTTTGAAAGAAAACAAGTTCTACATTATCCATATATAATAAAAGTGTCGAGCCCAGGATGCGGTTAAAATTTGTTTCGTGGAAAGGAAAAATCAGAACCCTCCATAAGATAGGTCTATATCCACCACTCCGATCCATTATGGTCCCGAGCTATGAATGATAACAACGGATTGGCTGTTTCGATTCTGCGCCAAACTCCACATGAGACGAATTTCCTGAAACTTGGACGAATAAGAACATGGTCTGATCCAGCTTGTAGGAAACGAAGGGTTGGCATGGGGGGGGGGGGGGGGGGTACGGGTATTCTTGAGGCGTGCCCTACACTAGGGGCTCCGGAGGCATGTCCCCCCGGAAATTTTTGAAATCTACTAGGCAATTTGAAAATAAATTTAGGAAATTTAGCATTAAATTTATTAGTTTGGCCCCATTTTACTGGTATCATAACATTAATCTGCGGGATTGCACCCCCACCCCGAAGAATGAAATACATACACGAATTACTCTGGACCGAATATGAAATCTATTGGTGTAACTTTGAAATCGGAATTAACAATTGGAGGCCAACGACGCTCTGCGTGGAACGATATGGATCCTTCCATGGAATTTGAAAGATACATGTGTTAAAGCATATTCCTTGTTCTGTGGTTAAAGTAATTGGGAAAACCTATTGATGTTTATGTCTGTATTCAGGGTAATGGGTGCGCATGTTTATGGTCAATTTCTGTTAATATCCATAATTTGTGCTGAGAGTGTTATATTGTTGCCATTTTCCGTTTCTAGGGTGTGGACACTGCAAGAAGGCCAAGCCGGAATTCACGGCCGCGGCTGACCAGCTTAAAGACGAACTGAAGGTTGCCTACATTGCCGTTGATTGCACCGACGACAAGAGCAAGGAAATGTGCTCGACTTATGGTGTAACGGGCTACCCAATGTTGAAGTACTTTGTGTACGGCAAAGACCCTGTGCCTTATAGTGGAGGGAGAGAGGTTAGCTGAGTTTTTTTTCTGATTTGAAGATTTTTCTGTTCATCTGTGTAAGCCAAATTTGAGGTTTTCAAATTACCTATAAGATATGACAACCTATTTTCTATTTCTTTGTGTGCAACCAGTCAGATTCTGTGATTTGTGAATGCATAGCCAACTTAACCTCTGATTGGTGCATGTCAATAGACCAGCCCGTTAGGCCCCGCCCACTCCTCATTTTTAGTGACACCATGTGCACCTCTGCAGTTGCACATGACATGGTGCAGCTGTGTTCATTGTTCAGACATGTTGGACAGTTGTTAGACATTTGGTCCAGGCATGCAACTTTTCCTTAGATCTCTTGATTTCCTCTTTATCCACTTCGCACTTATTCCATTTAAAATTGAAAACACTGTTTAAAGTTTTCAAAAGCTATGAATTTTGCCCTTTTTTTGTTACTTCCCAGTTGTGCACCTGTTTCGCACCTGTTGGTTGCACAATCAGCGTTGTGATTGGTCAAAACATCAAGAGTTGAACGGATCTATTACTGTGGTGTCCCAATCTGGGGCTAGTTTGTTTGCCCTCTGGGCAATTCCGTAAAATCCAATTCTCTGAGTACGTCCGACTACATGATGTAGAAAGTTGTTAAGGTGGTGGTACCTTAGTTTGGTCTGTAATTGTTTTCTACTCATTAGATGTCACATATTATAGTTTTGTTTCATTTAAATTGGCAACGGGCTAGACAAAATAATCTTTTAGGGTGTTTTGTACATACAAAGTCTTTACTTTAAATTGGGTTAAAAATATTAAATTAATTTTCTTGGTTGAAATTAAACCAAGTGACCTTTAAATGAAGAACCAATACTTTACCTTAAAGGGTGATTCTGTGTGTGTGTGTAGTCATTTAATTCCTGTTGAGCAAGGAATTCAATGTATTCAGTTCTTGTGCATTGAGTTCAATACAAATATTTATATTTTTTTAAATGAACAGGAGATTGACTTTGTGCGCTTCATGATGTTGCTGGTGAACCCCGACGCGGCGCCCCCTCTTCCCGAGCCGGTAGTGGAGGACTTCTTTGCAGAGCTGGACGGAGGGGAGAACGTCTTACAACTCACCGACAGCACCTTTGATGATGTCATCAATAAGGAAGAATCAGTCTTGGTCATGTTCTATGCTCCTTGTAAGTGAGACATTGTAGTTGTTGGGCGTCGGAGTCCCTCCGGTTCTTTTCAGAACCACACATACTCACAAAAGAGATTTATTCACATGGTGCTACCACAAACTTATCTTGTCCTAGTGCCATCTTCTTTTCATGAATAGAGTTGATAGCTTCCATTTAAATTTTGCCCGAAGCCCATTATAATTGGTGGTATCTGATTGGTTCTTATTTCTTGCTCTGCAGGGTGTGGTCACTGCAAGATGATGAAGCCTGCCTTCTCGGAGGCTGCAACTCTCCTCAAGGAGGCAGAAGTAAGATGCCTCTTTAATTATCCTCCCCTCTTCAAAATTAAGACGTTTCTTTGATTAGATGCTGTCTTGAAGCAAGGCCTCATTTTCTGTGTCTGTATTATTTTGAAGATTTTGTTAGTTCTACACGTACAAAAAAAGTCCTTCAAATGTAGGCATCTTGTATGCATCTTGTTAACAAGACAAGGCAAGCCAGAAAAGCTGGGCCCAGAGCACATCTTCTTTTCCATCGATTCTGAATGGTTATTCACTGGAAGGGACTGTAGGCTGGATCTCTGGGACCAGCAAAAACAGTACCAAGTAGAACAGACGTAGGTTTATGCATAAATCTTGACTCTGTCGACTCTTTGTACGTTTGGGAGCATATTCCCATTAATGAGTCTTAAGGACTTTTTTTTTCGCCTTCCAGATTTTTATGTGGATTTTTAATGAGCATTGGCAGTTCTTCGCGTTAATTTAATTTTGGCATCCTGCTGAATGTGGGCATAATGTACTGTCGTTGACAAAAGTGACCACATATTTCCATGGTGCTAGATTTGTTCAAGGGCCTGTAATCTGACAAGTAGCTCTGGTGACCTTTTGACCTTTGGGTTTTACAAATCAGGCGAACAGTTACTAGATACTGTCACTGACCTCACACTTACTTATCAAAGATTTTGTTTGGTATGTCAGGAATGACATAAATTTTTGTTTTTTGTATTTTTTTTATTGTACTATTTTGCAGACACCAGGCGTGCTTGCCGCAGTTGACGCAACTGCCAACAAGGCCCTGGCGGCTAAATACGAGATCCGAGGTTACCCACTATGTGAGTAGGTCAGACTGGCTTGAAGTGTGTGGGTACCAGACCTAGAATATGAGTTAGGCAACGTATTAGTAACTTGACATCCCAACTTCTGTTGTCTTCAGCATTGGCCATGTCACTGGTTCCCAACAGAAGTAGCTGGTGCCATATCCCCAGGCACACAGTCTAAATGAGCCATTTCCAAAACATCGGCCTTTTCTTCAGCATTGGCTACGTCCCTGGTTCCCGACACGGGCGTTTGGAAGTTGGGGGCGGGGGATTCTGTTTGTGAAGAAAAAATACAAAAAATAGCAAGAAAGATGCAGAAGTGGAGCACTTTTGCAAATCCCTGGATAGTTTTGACCAAATACTGAGATTGGTACCATTATCAAAAGCTCATGTACTTACGAAATTCACTGATATTTTCAGTTTGCTGGTCAGGTTCGGAAAAAGACTATGACTACAATCCTGCATTGAACGCATGAATTTCGAAGGATTTGATGTTTCTGTACATATAGCGGAATCCGTTGACAAGAATTAGGAGCGGTTACTGCGGTGGTGCCACGCTCACGTGCATGCTGCACGCATTCTTAAAGACAAGGTGTGCGCTTAAAGACAGGCTCGGAGTGCGTGCGTATATACCTGAGCTTGACTCGCGCAAGCCTGGCGCCACCTCAGAAAATGGCTGTTGTTGAATTAGTCTATATCACAACAAACAAATCCTTGCCCAGTCTCACAGATGACAATTGTTTCCAAGACAATTATATGTGAGTTGTTGTAGCTTTTTATTTGAATTGCCTCATGTAATTATTCGTTTTGATTTTTGTTTCTTAATGTTTTCCTGCAACTGCCCTGCTCCGCACCCGCAACATGATGTCTGCTCAGTAAAATATTTTAAGTAAGTGAAAGTGTAGATTGTAGATTCGTCTGTCCGTGTGTTACAAATGTTTTGCATGTACATGTAGTAGCTGTTCATCAGTAAAAGTCAAACTTTCAATATGCAGCTGTACTCAGTGCAGAACATATCGAACCACTCTAAGATGTCAGTCGGGTAGTGTGGCCTAGTGGTTAGGGTTTGTTACTCATGATCAGAGGGTCAGGGGTTCGAATCCAGCTGCTGGCCATATGTTGTGTCCTTGGGCAAGCTAATTAACCCAAACTTGCCTATTGTCCACCGGGGAGTATATTTTGGTACCGATATTAGCTGGGGAGTAACCTGCAATGGAATGGCATGCCATCAGGGGTGGGGGAATAGAAATATTCTCATTCGTTTCATGCCAAGGCAAGCAGAGATGAATGTCTGCTTGATGGACCAGACTTTACTTTTACTCAAAGATGTCGCAAGGGGTGTCCCTAGAGGGTGGACATGGGGGGTAGTCACCTCCACTGGCAAATTTGTTGTGTAGGCAAAAGTGTGAGTCTGTCAGCAGTTATGGTACATCAAATGGCGCCACCTAGTGTTCGATAGTGTCCTAAAGGGTTCGCATTGAACGGCACCCTAATCAGTCACGTGGTGTCCAGCTCCCCTCCCCCCTCCAGCGTGGAGGGTCATCTCCAGAAACCTATTGTCACATCCTTTCATTCACTTGGTCTGCCAACAACCGTATATATAAGTAGTGTAACCACAGACTAAAACCCAGCACTCCAACCTGCAAAGCTTCCAGTTAGTTATATAAAGTTGTAACTGCTGGTGAGTTATTCCAAGCTTGCCACATGGTGGCGCTCTCCACAACTCATGAGGGCGCTCTTCATTGCTACCACAGATTCATGGTCCTTATTGATGACACATGTCTGTGTCCTAAATTTTTTGACTCGTACTTTGACTCAGTATAATTCGATCATCCTTCCACCCCAGGACCCGAGGACAGAGGTAAAGAAAGATTGATTATTAGAGAACTTTATATTATTGCAGTTTTTTGTGCTACATAAGTGTGATTTGGGTAAATTTAGGGCTAGATTTTCATTATATTATTTGTATCAAATGATTATTGTTGAGTGCACTTTCACTGTTAAGTTGACCTTTGACCTTACACTTTCGAGGGGTTATTGCTACTATTTTTGATGCACATTTTAGATTAGTGATTTTCCTTTATTTTAAGATACCTTGTATTCTAATTAGAGTTAGTTTTGTTTTTGCTTTGTTGCATTTTTTACGTGAACTCTGCAATCGCCACAGTCATTTTTGGTAATAAATAAGCCAGGAATATACAGTGTTGAACTTGAAACAGTGTTGTTAACTACAACCGCCACAGTAAAAACTCTTCTTGGGATAAGATGTCAGACACGGATGATATACAGCTTGGTGATTCGGCTTCAGTTCTCAGCCATGGCAGTCGCAGTTCGAGAGCCAGCTCAAGACACTCGAACACAGAGCTGCTTCGTATAACAGAGGAGCAGAAGAGAGCAGAGCTTACTGCTCGGTCTGCAGCTATCAATGAAGCACATGAGTTGGAGATATCAAGACGAACATTAGAAATGGAAAATCAACGACTCATGCAGCAGATAGAGATGTCACGACTGGAACTTCAAAGACGAGCGAATCAGCTGAGACTCCAGACAGAGATTAATGTGAGCAGCGCAAGACTTGAAGTTTTGGACAAGTTTGATGGTGAGTCCCCTCAGCAGTTGAATGATGTAAATGACCTCCCCCCAATAATTGATGGGCCATTTACCGAGGCAGAAGCTGAGAACGCACCAAACGATAGTCCACAACATCGTGCTCGCAAACTAGAACATGGGACTTTGAATACCTTTCGAGACACACAGAATGATGGTGACAATTTCCTAAAAACCCCACCCCCTATGTCTACTCCACCTACTGGAATGTCGGATTCATCTGACGCAGTTCTCCCCCCACAGACCAGTGATGTACCCCGCAACGATGTGGCAAGTGCCATCACAGCACTGGCAGATGTGCTCACACACCGGGAGGAGAAATTGCCTAAGAAAAGAACCAGAAATCTTCAAAGGCAGTGTATTCGACTTCCCCGTGTGGATGAATTCCTTTTCCGTCCTGGTAGAGCAGCGCTACACATCACCAATCGACCGCCTATACTATTTAGGCAGATACACGTCTGGTGAGGCCCGAGAGTGTATCAAAGGACTTCTCGCCTTGAACAGTGAGAACGCATACCAAAAAGCGAAGAAACTCCTGACTGAGCGGTACGGTAACAAGATGCTAGCTGCAAGCACCTATCGTGAGAAAATAAGCAAATGGCCGACCGTGAAGCAAGACGATGGAAAAGGACTGCGTAATCTCTCAGATTTCCTTTTCCAGTGCGAAACAGCCATGTCAACTCTGAGCCAGTTAAAGGTTCTTGACGACCCAGCCGAGCACAAGAAAATTATAGAGAAGCTACCGAGGCAGGTGCAGGGTCGTTGGCTTCGTTTCGTCGACCAGTGCATGTATGGCCAGAAGGATGCAGAGGAAGGTGATTACCCGCCCTTTGCCGAGCTGTGCAAATTCATCGCAAAGGAGGCTCGCATTGCCTGTAGCCCCTTTCACCAAAAACCGATGGACGAGAAGAGGGAATTGACAAAATTTGTCAAACCTACCAAGTCGGGAACAGCCACGACATTTGCCTCAAAGGCAGATGAGCTCACAACGAAGAAGAAGACTAGCCCCCTAAAGGGCAACACCCCCCCTTCACCCAATGCAAACAAGGCATCAACATGTCCCCTCTGCAAGAGCCAACATCAACTCGATTCCTGTAGCAGTTTTGCAGCCATGAGCCTTAGTGAAAGGCATGACCTCATCAAGAAGAGCGGCCTTTGCTTTGGATGTCTCAAATGGGGTCACAGAAGTCGCGAGTGTCGCCACAAGAAGCAGTGTGCAGTCTGTGGGCGCTCCCACCCTACTTTGCTGCACGACTTCTCCAAGTCCACTCCAGATGTGCAGACCAAAGATGACACCGATGACAAAGAAGTGGTTGTTGTCCAATCTACCACACATCGAGTGCAGACACTTGACGTCGGAGAAAATTGCTCACACACTCTCATCGTTCCCGTCGTCGTTCATCACATCAAAGAACCCTCTGCGAAGGTGATAGTATACGCCCTATTAGATGAACATTCCGATTCTTGCTTCGTCTCAGATTGGACACTAGAAAGGCTCGGAATCGATGGAGAGGCAGTCCAGCTGAGTCTGTCTACAATATTAGCGAAGGGCACTATATCATCCAGAAAGGTGCATGGCCTAACTGTCAAGGGATTGTCCGAGGACACCGAGATACAATTACCAGGCGCCTACTCCAGAGAATCTATCAATGCAAACCGTGAGCAGATTCCGAAGTTGGACACCGTGAAGGAGTGGCCTCACTTGAAACGAGTCGCCAACCTGCTACCTCCCTACCTGAGTGAAACCGAGATCGGACTTTTGATTGGCTGCAATGCAACTCGCGCAATCAAGCCGAGAGATGTCGTCCATGGAGAGGAAGATGCCCCATATGCAGTCAGAACAGCCCTTGGATGGGGAGTGATAGGAATGATGCGTCATGACAACGGTGGCAACAATGTTTGCAGAATTCCGAATGCATCAAAGGAGCAACAAGGCCACTTCGCCTTTCGCACCCAGGTGAAAGAAGTCAGCCCCCTCCAAGTCACAAAAATGTTCGAGATGGACTTCATCGGGAAAGACACCGAAGAAATGGTTTCCCACGATGACCGAAAGTTCATGCAGAAGATGAAGGATGGCATCCACAGACGTGATGATGGCCACTTTGAGATGCCCCTCCCACTCAAAACAGATGTCCAGCTCCCCAACAACAAGCCAGTAGCTCTGAAGCGGCTCAACAAGCAAAAAATGAAGATGTTGAGCAACCAAAAATATCGAGATGATTACAAGACCTTCATGGAAAACATCATCGAAAAGGGCTATGCAGAGAAGGTTCCGGACGAGGAACTTGACCTGGACAACAAGGCCGTGTGGTACATACCTCATCACGGGGTATACCATCCCAAGAAACCAAACAAGATCAGAGTCGTCTTCGACTGCAGTGCTGAATACGAGGGTGAAGTGTTGAATCGACACCTACTGCAGGGACCCGATATGACCAACAATCTTGTTGGGGTTCTTTGCCGATTTCGGAAGGACCACGTCGCCTTCACCTGTGACATCGAAGGCATGTTTCATCAAGTTGGCGTCAACGTGGAAGATCGCAACTACCTGAGATTCTTGTGGTGGCCAGGAGGTGAAATGAACCAGTCCCCAAATGAATATCGAATGACGGTTCACTTGTTCGGCGCTACCTCTTCCCCAGCTTGTGCAAATTTTGCACTGAAGTGTGCTGCTGATGCATACGAAGATAGTTGTGGGACGGCGGCAGCCGACTTCATACGGAAGGACTTCTACGTCGATGATGGACTAAAGTCAGTCCCAACTTCCGATGAAGCCCTGAAGTTGATAGAAGACAGCAGACGGCTGTGTCAGAAGAGCGGATTCCACCTTCATAAGTTCATCTCCAATGACAAGGTGGTTGTGAATTCCATACCTCTCAGTGAACGAGCCGAGGATGTTCAGAACGTTGACGTGTTCTCAGAAGGCCTTCCCATCGAGCGTACTCTAGGTGTACAGTGGTGTGTTGAATCCGATGCTTTCCAGTTCAGAGTCCACTTCAACGACAAACCACCCACTCGTCGCGGCATCATGTCGAGCGTCAGCTCCATATTTGATCCACTTGGTCTGGTAGCACCAGTCTTGCTTGTTGGAAAACGCATTCTCCAAACCTTGTGTCGTGATGGGTATGCATGGGACGACCCAATCTCAGAGGAAATCAGATCTGAGTGGGAGAAATGGAGGAACGACATCCTGCATTTGGCATCACTGAATATCCCACGATGCTACAAGCCTGAGAAGTTCGATGTCATCAAGTCCGCAGAACTGCATCACTTCTCCGATGCCAGTACCGAAGGCTATGGTCAGTGTAGCTACTTACGACTGATAGACGACAAAGGAAGTGTATGTACAACTCTGGTCATGGGAAAGTCCAGAGTAACTCCTTCGAAGCCAGTTACCATCCCTCGACTGGAACTTACAGCAGCCGTCATCTCGGTGAAAGTCAGTACTTTCCTCATGAAGGAACTAGAGTATAGCGATGTGACTCAGTTCTACTACACTGATAGCAGAGTCGTACTCGGGTATATTGCCAATGACAGCAAGAGGTTCCACATATTCGTCGCCAACCGCGTGCAGAAGATCAGAGATCACACCACACCTGAAGATTGGCGACATGTTGACACTAAAACTAACCCAGCAGATGCAGCTTCCCGAGGTCTTTCTGCCGAGTCGCTCATCAAGAGCAAACTCTGGTGGAGTGGTCCCGGTTTCCTGCAAGAAAGAGAAACCCCTCCACCCGACACTGAGCACGTGGAGCCAAGTTCAAACGACCCAGAGGTGAAGAAGGCATCTGCATTCAATGTCCACACTGAGGCCTCCAACTACCCGAGCATGCTTGAAAGATTCCAGTCCTACTCAAACTGGTTTCGCCTGAAACGTGCAGTAGCATTGTGCCAACGCTACATGAAGAAGCTTAGAGATCGCTGCTTCAAAACAGCTACTACTGCACCTGATGGCAACACCCCCTCACTGTAGACGAACTCCAGCATGCAGAACGACTGATACTGAGGCTAACTCAAGAGGAAGCATTTCCAAAGGAAATTAGAGCCCTCAGCAAACCCGATGGTCTTCCTAATGGCGAGCAGCAAGGCCCAGGAAACCCCCTGAACAAGAGCAGTCCTCTGTATATGCTTGACCCAGTCATTGATGAAACAAAGCTGTTGAGAGTCGGTGGACGCATCAAGCAAGCCAAAGCACCTAAAGAGATCAAGCATCCCATCTTGCTTCCACGTCATGGCCACGTGACTGACCTGGTGATTGAACACTACCATGTTCAGAGTTGTCACTCGGGCCGTGGCATGACACTGAATAGCATTCGCCAAGCTGGCTTTTGGATTCTGGGGGCAAGATCAGCTGTTACCAGCCATATTTGGAAGTGCGTGACCTGCCGCAAACTCAGACGTGCTCCCTGTGGGCAGAAGATGGCAGAACTACCCAAGGACAGATTGGATCCATCCGCACCCTTCACCTATAGCGCTGTAGACTACTTTGGTCCCTTCATGATTAAAGAAGGACGAAAGGAGCTAAAAAGATGGGGGGTCATCTTCACCTGTATGGCATCCCGCGCAGTCCATATCGAGACAGCTAATTCGCTGAACACCGACTCATTCTTGAATGCCTACCGCAGATTCACATGTAGAAGGGGTCCAGTGAGACAACTCCGCTCCGATAGAGGCACAAACTTCATCGGTGGAAAGAATGAACTGGACGCTGCCCTAGCCGAGATGGATCAACCCAAGATATCTCAAGAGCTGCTAAAGGACAGTTGTGATTGGGTGACATTCAATATGAACGTTCCCACAGCCAGTCACATGGGAGGCACATGGGAGAGGCTCATCCGTTCAATCAGACAGGCGCTCTCAACATTGCTGCAGAAACATGGGCAACAACTGGATGATGAGCTCTTGAGGACCCTCATGACCGAGGCTGAAGCAATTGTGAACAGCCGACCTCTCACCTACGTTGACATGGTGGCCCCAGATTCAGAAGAGCCCCTCACGCCAAGCCAACTGCTAACGCTGAAAAGCAAGGTAGTTCTCCCTCCGCCAGGAGTCTTCATCCAACAAGATCTTTATTGCCGACGCCGATGGCGCAGAGTCCAGTACCTTGCCAACCAGTTCTGGTCACGTTGGAAGACTGAGTATTTGTCGACCCTACAAGAGCGGAAGAAGTGGCAGAAGGCTCAGCAGAATCTGGAGATAGGCAACATCGTCATGATGGTCGACGACTCCACTCCCCGATGCCAGTGGCAACTCGCTCGCGTGGTTGAGACGTACCCAAGCTCAGACGGTCACATCAGGAAGGTCAAGCTCCAAACTGGTCGATCTGTCTTCGAGAGGCCTATCCATAAGGTTGTACTACTGTTGGACCAGGGAACGCCCCGACGAGGAGCCAAATGCCTGAACTTGAGCCGATACATGAACTGTACTTAAAGGAGCCACGTAGTGTTCACATTCTCAGTAGTATAGTAGTTACTATTTCCAGTTTTGCGCCTTTAGTCAAGTTTAATGTTAAAATTGTTAATGTTGTTAAGTAATTTGAAAGGTCAAATTAGGGGAGCCATGTAACTGCTGGTGAGTTATTCCAAGCTTGCCACATGGTGGCGCTCTCCACAACTCATGAGGGCGCTCTTCATTGCTACCACAGATTCATGGTCCTTATTGATGACACATGTCTGTGTCCTAAATTTTTTGACTCGTACTTTGACTCAGTATAATTCGATCATCCTTCCACCCCAGGACCCGAGGACAGAGGTAAAGAAAGATTGATTATTAGAGAACTTTATATTATTGCAGTTTTTGTGCTACATAAGTGTGATTTGGGTAAATTTAGGGCTAGATTTTCATTATATTATTTGTATCAAATGATTATTGTTGAGTGCACTTTCACTGTTAAGTTGACCTTTGACCTTACACTTTCGAGGGGTTATTGCTACTATTTTTGATGCACATTTTAGATTAGTGATTTTCCTTTATTTTAAGATACCTTGTATTCTAATTAGAGTTAGTTTTGTTTTTGCTTTGTTGCAGTTTTTACGTGAACTCTGCAATCGCCACAGTCATTTTTGGTAATAAATAAGCCAGGAATATACAGTGTTGAACTTGAAACAGTGTTGTTAACTACAACCGCCACAAAAGTCATGATTTGTCTATGTATCTCTCTCTTATTACCAATGTTAACAGAAATGGAGAAGCAAATGATTACGTGTCGGGACGGTCTACAGAAAACATTGTGGACTTTATGAACAAGTAAGTTCATTCTTTTATAACTTTGCATGTTTCTCAGGCTCCATGGCAATCACATTTGTCTGTAAACCATCCATTTGCTGATGAAATATACTATTTCTTACGTCACCGAAATTGAATGTGTAAAACCACACATACTGAAATTTGTATCCTTGTGGAGACATTTCTTTGTTCTCATGTAGTGAAGTTTTCGAGTTTGAAAGTGTAATTTAAAAATGCTCTTATTTTAAACAGAATTAATTTCCTTGGCTGAAATTCGGACTTAATATCCCTTTTCTAAAACTCTTCCATTTGTGACAGATCAACATTCCTTGGAAATTCTTAGTTTTTTGAGTAAAATCCATATATCTATTTCGTGATAACCTTGTGGAGATGTATTCATCTATAGAAATTGTGCTGTGGAGACATACATTCTTTTGTTCCCTATTGTGTGCATGTCTCCAGAGGGCACAGTGTATCAGATCATTATTTTATGCATAAAGTATGGACTCGTACACACAGCATGAAATGTGACGTATCTTGCAGGGAAACTTGCACAGTAAAATGTGGTGCAAGTGGACTTACGCTATTTGCCTGAAGTCTGTTAAGTTGGCTGCTCGTGTTCTGAGGTTGTTTCCTCTGGGAATAGTTCGCCTCCCTCATATGAATACACATTCTGGAGTTTTCGACATCGCAGCCGATTTCACGAAAGAGCTCGTAGGAATTACTCAACAAACTTACAGTTGATTTCACGAAAACTTGGAGTAGCTGCGCAATGTTTTAAATAATTTAAACATCTTGGATGAGAATAATAACAGCATTTACCACCACTGTTTGTGTATAATTTCTGTTCAGACAAAAATAGTCGTTGAATAACATCCGCCCGCCATTGTTTTGTCCAATTTTCTTTGGAATTGTGGGGCAGCTGTAAAAAATTCTGTCAGAGGTAAAAGAGCAAGTCATTTACTTCAAGCACAAAGCTGTGAGTGTCTTGTGTCAACATTATGTTGAGCAATAACAGGTTCCACAAAGACGGGCAGCATGAAAAGTAGAGTAACGCCATTGCCTAAATTTCGTGAAATTGGCTGTCGTTCTAAATCCTTTGAATTCTTTAAAACTCTCTTTTCGAATCAGTCCAAGTGAAGCCGCCACGCCAATCCCCCCTACTCCGGAACCCAAGTGGAGCGACGTGCCCAGCGCCGTCAACCATCTCACTCAGGCAAACTTCAAGTCGTTTACGGAGACCAACCGGTACGTCTTGACGATGTTCTACGCTCCGTGGTGCGGTCACTGCAAGGCCGCAAAGCCGGCGTTCCAGGACGCGGCCGAGGTTCTCAAAGACGAGGAAGGGATGGAGCTGGCTGCTGTGGACTGTACTGTGGAAAGAGGTAAGGTCTGGCCAGGGACTCTCGCCACCTCAAGGAAGAAAGGATGAAGATGACCAATCCCTACTTTTTCTTGTCCCTGTTACATCTGACATCTATGATTTCATGATTTTGGATGCCATCCTTATTCAGGCATGCAACTTTTCCTCGGATCAGTGGATTTCCTCGTTTGCAACTTTCCACGTGTGCCATTAAAAACTTTATAAACACTGTACAAACTCTTGTGCCGCTTTGAATTTCCTCGTTTTTTTGTGTGGGATTTCCAGTTGCATGTCTGCTTATTGTATTCTTCCTGCAAGAGAGATTATGCGAAGCAAATGACCTACCCAACAAATAAAAGTTAGCTTGAAGTCATTGTTTATGATGACACATGTATAGCAAATTACAAAGTTCCGAAGTAAGATGGACGGGAAAAATGTCACACTTTGTACTATAAATTTATCCAGTGACCCATATCCTGTATGCACATCATGGTTCTTATTGAATACAGGTTTTATGCATTGGATTATAAAATTGTGGGGGAAAAAAAATAAGGGTACTGTGGAATATGATAACTATTAGGTCAGAATAATCTGTTGTTATTAGCAGAAATTCTTTGCTTTGATTCATTGAAAAGAACAGCTGCGAATCATTTGAGAGAAAGACCTTTGTGAGAAAAGTATTTTTTGTTAAATTTGATCAGGCATTGTTCAACAGGTTACAGACAATGGTTAAAGGCTTATGATTGGTTTTGGATTCTTGCCCTGCTTTTAATCCCAGATCTGTGCAGCGACTTCGAAGTCCAAGGGTTCCCTACTTTCAAACTTTTTACGGAGGGCTCCCCCACGGAATACCAGGGCGGCCGGACGAAAAGCGATTTTTACAACTTTATGCAAAGCCTGAAAAGCGGAGCCGGGGACCAGCCAAAAGAAGAGCTCTGATGACAGCTACCGGGCAAAGTGGTGTTCGTAGCAACCATTTCGGTTTATCATTTTATATTATTACATACACGGTTTGGAGGTGGAGGGAATTCTTTTTATACCCATTTACCCCCCCAAAATTTAACCTGTGACTTGACATTCATCCTGAAGAATAGCGACCTTGGGGTCAACATGAGGTCATGAGGAATTGGGGTCACGACCTTTGCTCTTTCATATTTTATTATTTTTGTGAAATGCGCCATATTTTGTAAATCTGTAGTGTAATGGCTTTAACAATGTGTTTAATTTTCTTAACATTTCTAAACTCACAAACGTTTTTTGGGGTTTAAAACAGATGGAGTAAAAACAATACTACACAATATAAAATACATCCTTTCAGCATCATCAGCATAATAGGTCAACCATCAATTGTGAGGTGTTCTTGCAAAATGAGACGCCGAAACAGGGCACAGGTTGTAGTTGAGCATTGTTTTTAACGATTTTCATGTTTGTTGATACATGCACTTTAAAGAAATAGAATAAAATCGTGAAATGAAAGCGTTTTTAAGGAAAAAAACAATTGGCATCTTTCTTATTCACATCTACAAAACAGTTGGAACTTTAAAGGTATTTTTCTCAGCATTTCACTGCCAATAATTCAACTGTTTTCAAGAAATAATTCAATAAGTAAAACATTGGTGGATATTTTTATTGGATGTCTCATTTCAAAAGAAAGAGCAAATCCATTTTTCGGGGTGAAAGTTTCGAAATAGCACGGGGACTGCATCTTTTAATTATATCTTAGATTTTTTATTCATTCAATTATGCTCTGAATTTGTCATCTGGATATTTTCTTTCATTTAGACAATTTATTGGGGAAGAAAAACAATTTAAGGTGTTTTGAAATAATGTAAGTTTTACTTTTTTGGGGTTTATTTTTGAGGAATCCTAAGTTTTCTCAGTTGTAGGTACAGGTACTTAAGTTTATTTTGTTGCGCAGGTAATTGTGTGAATTTCTTTAACTTTGTATACGTGTATATGGGTTGATTTCTTATATTTCAGCTTTCGATTTTGAAGTCTTCCTATTTTCACCATCATTTAAGCTATGATTGGTTTCATTTTTGGGTCTTTGGGCATTTTGAAATTTTTTCCAGAGCATCATTTTTGACATTAATCTCCTAAATAAATCTTAGTAGATACAGTTGGTATTCGAATCTTCTGTATCACCACCAAATTTTGTTTCATTACTTGGGATAGGCCTACTAAGGGTTCAGAATTTCCATTTCGTGAAGTAATAATTTAACGCTTTAAATAACCGTCTCCAGCAGTGAAACCTTGGGGGGGGGGGGGGGGGGAGGGGGGTCAGTGTACTTCATATGGCTTAATGTTTGTTTAACAGTATACAATTTTGAGCAATACTAATATTCATCCATCTTTAGCTACTCGAATCATGTTTTCAACATTTCAGGATTATTTCATCATGTTAATTAAGAAAACAGCAATAACTTGGGCATTTTGCCTGTAGAACTGGCTCTTTGTAATAAATAAAACTTGGCCTTTGTTTTTGTGATCGGGCGCGACACTATTTTGGTTGTGCGTTGTTTCAGTTCAGTGTAAAAAACCCAGAAATGATGAAATTTAGACTCGTTTCTCGGCTATGTTTCATCATTTTTACCAAAGCTGTAAAATGAATATAATGATCTACCCGAGCTTTGTTGTGTATGCATTTGTGTATATAATACAGCAACAAATATAAACGTTGTCATGGTTGTACACTCTGTATATCCAGTATCAAATTTGTGCAACATTTATCACTATTTGCTATCAAATAATTGGTTTTAATATGAAAAAAGAACCAATTTGATAATTTACAAATTCCTCTTACAATGGGACACCCCCTTTTCTCAAGGGGAAATATTCATGTATCAAAACAGACGTGGAAATATTTTTCTCCACGTCCCCAAAACCTTCCAGGAAATAAGGTAGGCCTCATAATGTACATTTCTGTCGTTTGTTAGCCTTGACCAAGGCGTTGCGGGCTTATCGATTCGCCGATAAAAAAAAAATCGCCGATAACAAAATCCCTAATCAACTTGGCAAGGCATAATTGCGTGCACATATCGATGCCCGTACGCTGCTAGTGAGAAAGTAACTTGTACCATACAGCAAGGCTATGCTTGTTCATGTACATGTACGTACGCACGTACATCACACACGTACTCGTACAACAGCCATGCACACACAGTACATGTACATGTACATGTACATGTACAAGTACATGTACATGCATGAGCTAGTCCGCGTAACCCAGGCCAGTCGTTCGACAGGCCACGCGGCGCGTATATCCCCCACACGTACGTACGTACACCCACACGCACGTACGTACACCCACACGCAGAACATATAATAGTAGGCCTACATTTACTGCCTTATTACACCATGCGTACAGTCCGTACTCACGTGTGTGTGCTTGCTGGTTGTGTTAGTGTTCATTCGTTTTGAACGTACGCAGGACGGGCATTTACGTCTCAGCCAATGAAAAGCTTTGCTTGCCACGCTCCACCCACAGTTACCGCCCACCGTGACCGTCCACTGCCTTACTTTTATTATTCAAATTGTTCGCTGCTTTTATTAATCACGATAACAATGCAAGAGGATTCCACTGTGGACGGTCACGGTGGGCGGTAATTGTGGGTGGAGCGTGGCAAGCAAAGCTCTCCATTGGCTGAAACGTAAATGCCCGTCTTGCGTACGTTCAAAACGAATGAACACTGTTAGTACCGAACCGTTCGTACGGACAAGGGTCGGTGGTACACGCACGGACAAGGGTCGGTGGTACACGCACGTAACCGCGTTGATTGTGGGTGCTAGGGCCCGATTATCTCCCTTCGACAAAAAGCCGAGAGACCGCATTGAACAAGGCTAGTCGTTTGTCCATGAACAAAAAATTATGTTGTTTCCGCTAATGATATTAATCAATATAACATTGTGTTCGGCGGGCGTTGGATAAACAAGACCACAATAGTCTGAAGGTCACTCGCTATACACGACTCCAGCTATGCGAACAAAATGACATCATGGGAAATTCGTTAATGATTAGTCCTTTTCTGTTATTACTCAACAACACTTGTTATTATGACAAGTTGTAAACAAGGTTCTTCAGTTTTCAATGAATTTTTCACTGAAATTTGAGTAATATTTCACATAAACGTGGTTTTTTGGGCTAATAAAAAAAAATAATGGAACAGGTACCTCAGAAATATTAGTTGTAATGATAAAGCAGAAAAAAAATGAACATTGCAGTGATGATGTTATTAATAATAATTCTTCTTTCTTGTTTTGTTCACCCTATCGTGCACAATTGTCCGAACTTGGAGCCACAGCTCTACACTGTAAAAAATAATGGGTAAAGCGTTTAGACATGCCCATAAGCACATTGTTGACTGCTGTCAAACGGGACTCGTATGGGTTTTTAAGCTCTCGGGGACGCACGGCATGCACCCTCAGCTTCCTAAGCTGGTTCGAACCCCACCTGGTACACCTCGTGGATTGATTTTGGTGTCTTTTAGATCTTTTAGGTAATTAATTTCTTAGGGTTCGACTGTTCCAGAATCGACTTCATACGTGACGAGCAACAGCTTTAAGCTCTCAGCAACGTTCAAGTATTAACTTCACTTTGTTTCCAATTCCAAACAAGAATGTGAACAATATATACAGAAAGTATGGATAAGAGTATACATAATGCAATGGAAATAAATTATAATTTGAAAGACAAATATGGATGGGGTCCATAAAAAGTACAGCTTGTCGAGTATATTGGCCCCCTAAAGTAAGTTATTTGTAGATTGGGTATATCAAAGGATAGGACCCGAGCTCAACAACCAACACAGTAGAAAAAAACCCAAATGTAACATGTTACACAGACAATAGCAATAGAGAAATATGAAATGCATGAACTTAATGAAGGAACCAATGTAAACCATAACGAGAATGAATTACCAGGGCTTTGTTGAAAATGTAGCAATGATACATTGACCAAAGTCTAACGGGCTAGCACTTACTACAGACATTTTAAATTGTGTCACATGACCAATGTTATTACGTTGGAAAACATTGTCACTCAATGTTGTCAATCTTGATTCAGTGCATCAGGCATATTTTTATATATACGTTGACTGCAAAACCTCATCCAACCACCCTTTAAAAAAACTTTGACTTGAAAGTCCCAGCCGACTCCCTTTTTGAAAAACCTGTATCCGTTTTTGATCTATGAGAGAACAAGTCCTGTTGAAGAGCGCAAAGCGAATATTTTTAACTGATTTAAATTTTTTTTTTTCGATATCGTCCCTTCCAAGAACCCAATGTTAACAACGAAACCAGAAGACGGGTGTAGGCGTTTTAAATCGCCTACTCCCCCCGATACGGCTCAGCGGTTGTGACGTTTCTGATTATAAATCGTAACAAGAAAAAAGCGCCCTCTGGTGTTAAACTTAGGCCCATCGGCTACTCGCATGGCTCAAATGAGACATCTTCGGGTTGTTCGCCGCTCAGGATCGCTCCGCACAGTATGCACTTGTTGGCATACTGCTCCCATCGCTGGTGCATTGTGGGTCCAGATTTCTGGAACAGGCCGGGGGTCGCATACCCTTGCAGAAGTCTGGGTGCTGTGGAGAAGACGGTGGGGTTTTAGTGCTTTTATTGCCCACTGGGGACGTGGGACCATGCTTAAAAATTTGGGGGGCGGGGGGGGGGGGGGGTGGCGCACCCAGGATTTGGTTTGGGGGGCCACAATTTTATTTTCAAATTTTTTAGAAGTTAATTTTTTTTCAAAACATCATGGCCGCAGAAAAAAAATGGGGTTTTTTTTTGGGGGGGGGGGAGAGGGGACGGACGATTTTGACGTTGGTGGCGCCACTTACACCCCTATTATACTACTCAAAACTAGGTCACATACATATCACCAAGGTAAAATCGTGGGGAAAAAAATTACACAAAAAAAATTGACAACCTCTTGGGGGGGGGGGGGGGGTTCAAGCCCCCCGATCCCCCCACTGGGGGGGGGGGGGGGGGACCCTCACATTTTAGGTGGTGCTTTTCAAATGTACATGTTCGCATGTGGTGGATAGGATGCATGTGTCATACGCTCATTTCTAGCAGTATCTATTGATGAATTCACAACATAAAATTCTTTGGAAGACTTAGTATAGTCTAACAATCAATACTGGAAGAATATTTTGAAGATTTAGGTCACTGTGGTAAAAATTGAATGTGCAGCCATGGGAACAATTATTGAGGCTGGGGGGGGGGGCATTACCATTGTTGTCCCCACCCACAAATATCGGTGGTGTTTTTTTTTTGGGGGGGACGACATGTTCCCCCAGGATCACCGCCCATGGCAAAAGAGCACTCTGATATTTGATCTTGACTGTATTAGTAGGCTTGACGAAAACAGATGACCACTTCTCTTTTATAATAATACTACAGTATAAACAGTATGTACAACTGCAGCAGGCCTATGGATAGTCAGCTGGGTGCAAGCTTGACTTCTCAGTCTAGTCTGATCTGACACGAGGTGTTTATTGCGTGTATAAGCCAAGTGTTCGCGAGAAGGATGCCCAGTTGCACCCAATATGAAAACATGGGTTCTCAGTCGTTCGCCATACGAAATACCAAAAAACCATGAAAAACTCACCTCCATTGGTTCCGGTAATGCAGTGCAGATATCAGTCAGGAGGAACACTGCGGACAATTGAAAGATGAGACACAATGAAGGATTACAAAATAATACCTTTAAGTATGTTTTTTGGTGAAAGAAAATGAATGGCCTTTCATGAATGAAGTTTTCAGAAGTAAGATATTTAAAAATCGATCCGTTAACTGTGTTTGCCGATGTGCAAGACGTTTAGAATGGGTGAGAAAATAAGTACAATGACAACAGCAAAATCTGCAAGATATTGTTTGTAATTTTACTGAAAAATGACAACAAAGTTACGACGGTCATCCTAAATACGTCAAGGAGAGAGAGAAGGCGGCGCAGGTGGATTAAAATAAAGCAGATGTTGGGGGAAAAAAGGACAGAAAATTATAGAAAACTGTCCATGTTTTTGTCTTGTTTTTAAATCCATTCCTCATGTATCTGTTGTGTAACATTACACAAATAAAATAATTCTGAATCTGTAGTGGGCCAACTTACCTGCGATTGCAATGCCGAACAGCAAAACAAACGGACGCATGATGGAGAGTATATGGCTTTGTCTTTCCAAACAACTACAGCTTCTGTGTATAATTAATAACGTTGTCGAACGCAGTGTTCAGTACTATAAAATGATGACTTTATTGTGACATCCGAGGCCGCTTCCTTTTTATCTTATCCAGTCCATTGTTTAATACGAGGTCTAATTAACCAATGAAATGTAACTATATCATATACGTCAAGCGATATTGACTGCAGTGACACGTGTATTGATGGTAAATTTCAGAATAGGCCAACACGTTAGTCACGGCAACAGCATTCAACAGCACTTTACCGGCTCTATTGAAAGTGTCCAAATGATGCATATTGCATGGCCAAAGTCTAATGCGCCATCACTTGCATAATTATGGCATTTTCATGTCCCAGATAAGAGAGTGCTTGTACAAATACAAAGCGGAAAGAGCGCCCTCCAATAAGGGCGGGACTACGGGGTAAATCGGATGGCTCACCACTCCCTCCAACTGACCAATGATAACAATTTACATAATGGAAAAAAAAATGTCACTCAGTTTTACACATCTTAAGCCATTGCTTCAGTCCCTTGGTCTGATTATGCGTTGATTGCAGTGATTCATTAATTTGTTTGATTGTCAAGACATGAGACTCCAAGCTTTTGTGAAAAAAAGAGTGGAAGGCACTCGCTCGAGAAAGTCAAAATGAGAATTTATAATGTTAGACTATATCTAGACAATGGTGGATCCAGGATTTTTCAAAGGACTGTATGAATCCGGCGAAACATCATATGAATCATATGCTTGTATTTCGGTTGTTTTTTAAAATGAAGATCAAACAGAGATATACGTTCTTTGTTTATGTATTTATGTCACCAAAAGTAACATTGAAATCACGCTTGAACGCGTAACAAAAGCGTCATTATTGTATGTTTTCATCCTCCAATCATCCTCTCTCGCCATGCCAAGAAAAGAGGGTGTTATTTGAATTCAGTATAGTAACAATTTCATGAATAGCCTATCCAAGCTATACAATACTATTATTCTAACTCCGTACTGTTGAAGGTCTGTGCACGAACTGGATATGACTGACCGAAGCACGAAAATGAATGATAACAACGGATTGGCTTTTTGATCGATTCAGCGCCAAACTCCACATGAGAAGAATTTCCTGAAACTTGGACGAATAAGAACACGGTCTGATCCAGCTTGTAGGAAACGAAGGGTTGGCAGGGGGGGGGGGGGGTACGGGTATTCTTGAGGCGTGCCCTACACTAGGGGCCTGGAGGCATGTCCCCCGGAAATTTTGAAATCTATACTAGGCAATTTGAAAATAAATTTAGGAAATTTAGCATTAAATTTATTAGTTTGGCCCCATTTTACTGGTATTATTATATGAGTCTGCGGGATTGCACCCCACCCCCGAAGATGAAATACATACACGAATTATACTGGACCGAATATGATATCTATTGGTGTAGCTTTGAAATCGGAATTAAAATTGGAGACCAACGACGTTCTGCTTGGAACGATATGGATCCTCTATGGAATTTGAAAGATACATTGTGTTAAAGCATATTCCTTGTTCTGTGGTTAAAGTAATAGGGAAAAACTATTTATATTGATGTTTGTGTCTGTATTTTGAATACACACTTTTGACCTTCCGGTAACCCCAAAAGTAAAGGTCAACCGACTTCAAATGTACGACGACAGAAACGTTGATTAAGATTATGGTGTATCAGATCAGCCCGATAACCCGAATCGAACAATTTGAAAACGGTTATCGGGTTATGTTTGATCACCCAATCAGCCATGTAGGAATCGTAAAAGATGTACTCTCTTCCCATTGAATACAACCTTATACAAACTGAAAAGCTGGAAAATGTCCTATCAAGGATTTTTTTTAGAGATTGATTTCCATTGATAACTTCAGCATCGATGATATAATTTGTCTACCGTAGTATCCGTTTTTTCCCCTAGAAATTAGTGTATTGATGTAGACTATAGTTGAGTGTCCAACTCCTTTCGACATCTTGGGTCGCCGACCACGCCTACCCGGCAATTCTGCACCGTCCGAAAGAGACATTCTCGGGTTGGTCGCCGTCCTTGATCGCTCCACACAGCAGGCACTTGTTGCATAGACCAACCCGTTAATGGTGCATTGCGGGTCCATATTTTGGGCAGGCCGGGGGTTGCATACCCCTGCAGAATGCAGGTCGCTGTGGAGAAGGCAGATGGGTTTAGTTTTTTTATTTCCAAAGAGTAAAAACAAAAATTCACTCCATCCGATTCAAACTAGGGACAAGACGTTTAGACTACTTTAGAGTGAATTGTATTCAATCAAATCGTTTCCTGGTTTGGTCGGGGTTTTTTTGGAGGGGGGGGGGCGTTTCTCTAAAGGCATATAGAATCATTTGCTTTTCATGCATTTTGTTCGTTTTCAATAACATCACCAATCAAAATTCCAAGAAGACTTAAAAAAACCCTGTTGAAGTTTCAGCTCAGTGGATATTACACTTTTCGATAAAACAGTGAATCGTAAGTCATTTGCTCGCAGTGACTCGAGTCGAGTCGAGTCGAGTCATTGACTCGAGTCATTACAACTCTGGATGATTCTGGCACAAATGCTGAAATGATCATCGTCATTTCTTGATGTAGGCATCCGAATGCTGTAACGTCATCAAACCGGAGGTTAATGGTCAATCATTTTGATACAAATACGCATTAGTGTAATTATTCTTATTTCCAAAAATAAAAAAATGATAAAAAATGATAAAATGCTAAAACTGAGACAACTATTAATTGAATTTTGTTTATTAATCAGATATCTTCAGAAAATAAACAGAATCTGTAGGTGAGGCGTTCTAAAACGAATAGGCTACAGACTGCTTTGACACGAGGTACAAAACTGTGATACAGGGAGCGATTCCATTTTCTAAGTATAATTCTTCCTGGGATCACTAGTTTCGGAAGGCTATGTAGGCTTAATTACTTGAAATAGTCAATATTATAACATACTATAGTCCTTTTCGTTTCGTTAGCTCACAACATTATTTTAATGTGCCTGTGCAAAGACAGACAAGCTATCAAAACATGTATTTTTAGATAAGCATATGTTGCATAAACTCCAGGGACGTTAGAGGCTCCGTCACACCAGCACTGTGCAGCACCAGAAATGTGCCTCGAAAATTTAGATCTTGCTTTCATAAACATTTCCGAGGCAGCAACAAAGTTCATACACTGTAAAAGCTTTGTTTAGCGTTGAAATTTCTGAACACCTAATTGTACCCACTTGAATCTACGACACGGATGTCTGTGACATGTCAGGTACACTATGGAAGCCTGTTAGTTCCATCAAGTATTTCAAGTAAAAGTATTATGTAATAAAATGAAAATCATATCAGGTTGAAGTCAAATGACAGGCTAAATACAGTGCACACCTTTATCACTCTTTCTTTTATCATCTGTCTCAGACAAACAAACTTTAAAAGGTAAATTAACTTTGATAACTTATTAATGAAGACAGTAACAGGATTTCGTATGTGCAAAAAAATATCTAAATATGTCTAAGATCAAGACCAAACATGTAACAAAAAATTGTACCATAAAGCACCATTTTTACAGTGTAGAGTGAACATTTTTTTGCTTTTCATATAATTTTGGTTGACTTTTGAAAAGTGTCCATGCATTTTATTATTTATGAGTACACTGTAAAACATTCAAAAGTTGATTGCTTGAAAACACTACCAATCCAAGGTAGGCTAAATCACTCAAAGCAATGATACTAAAATACTAGTCCGTTTTCTGAATTTTCGTCATAACTGATTGCAATCGCACCTCCAGTGTTCCTGTCATATTTTAAATACAGAAAAATCCATATTTCGTAATTTCGTAAAATGTAGCCTCACGGCATAATTTTATTAGCCTTACCTATGCAAAGACCAAAAAGCCATCAAAACATTATTTTTAGAAAAGCATGTCCAATGGCGTCGGAGGCTCCGTCAAACTCCATATTGAAGTCTTACCGCGGATACTGTTTATACTTTATGAGAACTGGAGTCATAATTAGGTGCATGCAGCACCAAAGCAAGGCGCCTATAATTTGTATCTTGTCTTCTATACACATTTGC